CTCAGACACGTGTCACGCAAAGGGAACGACGTCGTTCCGTGCGGCTAGATCGACGTCTCGCTTTTTCTCCTTTTGCGCTCGGCTACGCTCGTACGAATACCGCTGGAAAGAGCGCATCGGATCCCACGGCGGAGCGAGCCGAGTCGCGAAGGGAAGAGGGTGCCAAGGGGGTTGTTAGCATGATGTAGCGAGAGGTCATGGGTGGGGGAAATAATGCGGGTGTTACCGGAGAGTGGTGCCCGACAAAATTACAATTTGGGGGATGTAATTCCGCTCCGGAGAAATGGCCTGCACATACCGAGCCGCGGGGGTGGCGGTGGCACGATGGGTGGTTGAACATAGGGGAACCAGCAGTCGGAGGAGTCGCTGCAAAGCCATAGGTGGGGGGCCAGAGGGTTGCAGAGCGGACAGGGGAACGGAGGTGGGAGAGATTTATCAACAGCTCGTTCCGCACTAACTAGACGCCGGAAACTCGAAAGATATTGCATCAGCGAGGCGATGATAGCGCCACGACTACTGGCATTAAATTGCATCCGGTCGTTGCAGGAATTTAGCCGCCATTACGGCGCCCCTTGCACCCTCCCGCCGTCGTTCGAAGCATCCTTCGCTATTCACCCCCTCAACCTTGCGCCCTTAGCGCGTGCCTTCGTTCCTCCACCCCCTTCCGGAGTCGATCTTGATCGACGATGATTTTATACACGCGTGGGCAGACTAGGATGCTACACGCTCCGAGCCGAGTTCCCTGGATACGCGATTGATACCGCGTGTTCCGCGAAACCACTGGAAGGCCAGAGTTACTCCTGCAAGTTGCTGCAACGCGTTTCCGTTTCGCCGGCGGTCGACCGGCTCGGAAGTTTCGCGTTCTCAAACGTCCTGGGATTCGCTGAATTTTTGACGCAAATTCGACGTTTCGACGTGGCGAACCTAACCTCGATACCTCGCTCGTGTCGCTAGATTCCCAAGTCCCGGCTCTTCGTTAAACTTGCAAAACAGGAACCAAGTGTCCGACGTGTCGTTGACACGGCGGTATCGCGTCGACCTTGGCAGAGACCACGAACGAGACGTAGATGGAATAGGAAATCCAATTGAACTCGGGCAAACACGCGTGATTATTCGCGCGATTAAGACGTTTCACGGTGCCTCGTAAAATTTGCATCGGCTCAGAGAACCGTTGTACCTCGCCGTATAATTAACAGGCCCGCCACGAACAAGCAAATGCACGGGATCTCGTTCGGACGTAACGTTCGTGAAAGTGTAAGGGAGCCGCTTGCGATCCTTGAACGCCCCTTCCGCCGGCACAATCTCCTTACCTTGCAAACGTTTGCTCGATCCACCCTCTCCATCCTCGAGGCTGCTCGCGAAGCAACAACCTGTTATAGCGGCTCCGTAATTTGCATTTACACTTTAAACAAACACGCCAGCCAATGACGACGTTACCCGTGGTCTCTGGGAACCTCCACCGGCTTGCCCCTTTCCACGAAATCCTCCGCGGTCTTCCTTTGTCTCTAATTCTTAGCCGTTCCCGAGGGCAGGTTCGACGAATGCGTCTGTCTTCGACGGGGAATCGATTTCTTCGCGAAACCCGCTTCGAACGTGATCAAGAGCAGAGGATAAGGAATTTTCGCAGACTAGCGAAGAGTGCCGCGGGGTCGTGTTCAACGCGGATCCTTGCATTCGAGGATAGACGGCCGTTTTTTCCACCCCGGTTCATTAACAGCGTAACAGAAGATCGGCGGGTCGAGTATCTTTTGTAACCATAGGAACAATCACGGTCTCGAATGACACTTTGCAGAGGCTGATGGAGCGAATTCGAAAGAATTCGACGAGGCATCGTGAGAAAAGACTAGCAGGACGGTAGCTATCTCCGCTCCTACGCGAGTTGCGAACCACCCCACCGTTTGAAACTTGGACCCCGTCGACTGCCACTGATTACGTTACTTCCGGCATCTCGTTAGAACGCAGAACTAACGCCTGGATTCGATATTCGATATTCCCACCGACCCTTCAGCTCCCCTCGCGAAATCGTAGCCCGGGATCTCTCGCGAGCAATCGCTCGGCCCGGCCGCGCTGCGTTCGCTTCGTCGAATCTCGATAAATTCGCGGCGGGCAACGGGCCAACGGGACATCCGGAACGACGAATTTTCCAACGAGCCCGTCCCGGTGGTAAAACTAATTACGCGTACGGCTATCGGCGGTAATCGAACGAGTGTCCCTCGCCTCCCGACTACCCCGTCGTCGTCGTCCAATCCCTTTTTGAATATGCCCGCACGGCCGGCCCGCGAAAACCAGATACTAATTATAGCGGGCAGAGGCGCCTGGATAGCACGTGGTGCGTGGAAACGTCCAGGATGACGTAGCGCGACGCCAGCTTTCGCGTGGCACGAGTGCCGCTAATTCGTATTTAAAGCTTTATCGGTCGCGGGTCGCGCGACAATTTCACGCTTCACAGAATCCATCTGACAGCCTCCGCCTCGGTGGCCCGGCGCATCCGCCACTGCTGGAGCCCGCACCCCCGGCCACGGTTGTTGTTTCGCGGGCGGCGGATGTCGCTGATGCAGATAGGGGCGCAGAGAGGGGCGCGGGGTAGGGTGCGGAGAGAGGTGCAGGCGCGGAACGCTTGGGTGACGGTAGTCTTAAGCGGGGGACAGAAAACTGCAAGCGTGTCACGTCACTCGAGCACTGTGCAAGTAATTTAACTGGCGAAGTACTCGGTAATAGTCCCGGGACTATATAAACAAAGCGGCTGGTTAATTAATCAGTCTCGGAGTCGGAGCGCGGTAATGGCTCCTGAATAGATTCCAGATTAATTATCCTGCCGTTTCTTTGAGACGCTTCCCCATGCCCGTCGTCCCGGCGAAAACTTTGCCGCTTCTGATCACCGTTTACGACGAGCGGGGATAGCAGACGAAGAAGCCGAAAAGGCAGATGTTTCGAAATTCCGGACGGTTACGGAGCATCCGTTTGGTCGTGGTACTTTTAGTTTCGTAAAACCGGCTTAATGACGCCGCCGTCCATGCTACACACGCTGCGATTATCATCTACGCGAGGTCATTATCACCTATTTATCGATGACCAACTACACCGAGTACAGCATCGATGCCTCGTTAGACCTCTAATGAAGCTGGCTGCGATGCTCGCGTTACACCGAAATTCTCTTCCAAAAGGACGCGAACCTGTTCGTACCTCGTCTAGAACCTATCCGGCGCGTTGGTAACCCAAAGGATGAAACTTGGCGAGTCGCGTTGATTAAACGAAGGAACGAGCCGCGTGCCGAGCCGAGAAGGGAAACGAAGGATCTCGTATCGATGTTAAATTTTTCGCGAGCGGTACGAGTGCGCGCGAGGATCTGAGGAAATTTAGCGACGATGTGGTCGGTAGCATTTTCAGCTCGTTCCCCTCCGGTCTTCTCGGATCCTGCTCGTCTTAGGGTAATACAAAGGGATCTAAGAGGCATTTTTCATCCGACGAGTATTTTTTACTCGGCTGCTGCTAATTCACACCGCTTACGTTCTCTCCCCTTCCCTCCCCGACCCACCCCACGCTTGTTAGATTGCTCCATCCCCCACCGTGCCTCGAGCCTCGCCATCGTTACCCCCTGAAGCCTGGGCAAGAGTGGTCGGGGCCGCACTTTGTTCCCTTCTAGCCTGGATGCAATTTTAATCTCGAATTCCGAGAAAATTACCTTGCCGTCAGAGCCGTTTAAGGGGCTACTAGGTGAGATTGCCCCTGCTACCTGTCAGGCCGCTTGACATATACTATATTATGTAGCGAGATCGGCTTTTCTTGAAACTATTTTCGTTTCGCCTAATTTCGCTTCCGTTATCGTTTATCGTGCCGTCGACTCGCGGCTGCGCGCCGGCACCTTGCCCCGGAACGGAAATCTATAGGAAACTGGTCCTTTGCTCGTCCGTCTCGTCGATATTAAAAACATTAGTCTCCGGATGGAACGTCGAACAGCTTTTTTATATAAATTAACTATGGCATTTCTTTATTCGGTGGGTCCGGTGGAATTTTGCGCAGGATGATAGACTGGTTCTTCGACCTTGGATTTATTCTTACGCGTCGACCTTCGTTTCCCAAAAGGAACACGTTCTCTCTCTTTCTCTGGAAGAGACTCTATACAGTCACTTGCGCGAATTCGGATTTTTCCTGAAATTATTCCTCGTGAATTATAAAGAGATAAAGTTCTACGTACCTGCGGTCGCGGAGCGGGAAACGTCTCTCCAGGTCCTCTGCAATTCACGAGGTGGGAAAGATACGTTTTACTATGTTTAATAATAATAGTAACAATAACGACTTTATTGCCACATACATAAATAGATGGACATGGCCGATGTACAGCGTGCAAGCTGGATCACACAACCGGATCCTTTTACAGTGAACTACACTTGCGCGTCTCCCTTTACCGCAAAACACGCTCCAAAATAAAGGTTCCTCTAATCGCGACGTGTCTCTCTAATCGGCGTATCCGGAACCGGGCGAAAACACACACAGATCTTTGCGCGCGCGCTAGAGACTATAGTTTTAATGCGGCAGGGTACACCTCTTCGTACACGCATCTCTCTTTCTCAAACGCATTCCTCTCTCTCTCTCTCTCTCTCTCTCTCTCTCTTCCTCTCTCTTTTTCTCTTTTTTCAATTCTCGTTCAATCGGGCTCAAAGGAACTGCAAATCGTTGCCTATCGACTGGCCACGCGAACGTTTGCGCAAAGAAACCAGCAGGAGAGAATTGGGCGGGGATACGACTCGACCTAACGACAGGGCAAGGACAGACAGGAACGAGATGACGATTAGATTACCAGCCGTTGACTACCGATAATCAGTTTCGTTAATATACAAGATATACATTCACTTAGTAGCTTCGTCGTTTGCCGATCCATCGATCGGCAGGACTCTATTCCCCGGAGTTAGCTCTGTCATTGGACACGCTTGCCTTTGACAGCGTCCGTTGCTTTTCCTACGCGAGGCGCCACGACGCTGCCTCCAACGGATCCGGCGGGATAAAACAGCGAACGCGGTTCTAAACGCGATGGGAACCGGCGTCCACGCGTCGCTCTAGAACGGAAACACCAGCGAAAAGCGAAAGGCCTCGGGCGATTTCGGGACATCGATTATCGTACACCGCCACCTGCATGGATGTCTACAACTTCCCGCGACAATTCCGATCACCAGCTGGTTGTTCCGGTCATCGTTATGTCGCGCCCCAAGGAAGAACCGGTGTCTTCTGTTGCGAGGCTCGTTCATTACATTTTTCAACATCGATTCGCTTCTAGCTCGAGTCTGGTATTAGCAAATCGATTTATCCGCCTGACAGGTTCCCTCGGACCTGGCCAGGAACAGTTTGCCGTTAGCACAGGCACACAACTGATAGATGGTCGTGTCTCTTTGACTCTGGTGAGTGGACGTCCTGGACGAGTGCTGCTGTTGCTGCTGTTGCTCTCTCGACGAGTGACCTTGGCTCGGACTGGCAATCTTCAGCCCTTTCATGAACAGGGTCTTCGCGTCCAGCTTGATGGCGCCGTGTACGCTTTGAAGCTTCAGGTCTGTTAGGCAGGAAGCTGAGATCTCGTTGGCCCAGGACTCGATCACCACTCGTTGAGGCGCGCTGATCTTGAGAGATCTGGTCGCTGACTCGAGTCTGTCGATAGAGAGAGAGTAGGCTACTTTTATTAAAACGGTTTATTCTTCGAGTTTTAAACTGCAAGTATCAATACGATCAAGTTTCCGCGGACGTAGAAAACCCGGTTGAATTTAATTTGTTTCTCGGTTACCGGATGTAAAGAAAGGCATTAATACAGCGAAGAGATTGAATCACTGCTGGAAAATGCGGTCGCAGCCTGGAGGGAACAAATACGATCGAAAACTCGCAATATCGCGCGACAAAATAATATGGCAACTAGTCGACTGCAACGTCAGATTCGCAATAATCGATCCCTCTTTCTAAGAAGTGGTAAAGCAGCGTCTTCGACCGTGCCTTACTTCCAATACCACCGCCTCCCATCATTCCCAGCCCAGCAGCCCCCCGTCATCGTCGTCGACCTATTGCTTGCAGCCCCAGCATCTCGCTCGTTCGGATCCTCGGTATTTCATATCTGGCATAAATCCAATCCTATGAATATAATTTTCCGCGCGAGCAAAGTTTTATTGTAATCGTAAATCCGTCTGTAAATTGCCCGACACTATCAATAACCGCGGTACCAGTGAGCCATCCGCTTCGTTCTTTCGACCCCTCGCGATTCCCCGTCCTATAATACGCCATCTTCCTACTTTCCAGGACCAAGTCTCGCTGACGTTTTAGCCGTGAAGTGGCTCGACGAATCGAGAAATCGATACCCATAGCGAATGTTTTGAACTCCGTTGAAGGAACTGTTTGAATATGATCGCGCAGATTGAGGGGTACTCGTGAACGCGATTGGTAATACGCCGCAGAAAGGATCTCGGAGACGTAGAAATGTTCTTTAACCCCTCGAGCGTTTACGTGGTATATGCGCGTCATGACCAAAGTCGATTCACGGCGAAAATGACGTACACCTGGGTCTCTTTTTACACGCTGGGTACGTACCTACGTACGTACCGCGCAAAGGAAATCCGTACGAAAGAAAACCGCGTAAAAATCTTAAAAATATTCCGTGTGCGACCAAGTACGAAATTCGCGTCCAAGTGAAGCAAAAACGAGCGGAAAAGCAATTTAAAATGCATTCCGCGATAGGATCTTTAAATTTTTGTCGAATTTCTCGGTTTCGGGAAAGGAATAATCACAGGCGTTGTTAGAAAAATTGTTCGAAATAAAACGCGTTTATTTCCGTGATAAATAATACCGAGAAAAACGCGTTGACAAACTGCGATAATAAATCGCGTGCGAAACGCGCGCCTTTCGAGTAAGAATAGACTTTGGAGCAACGAGTCGTGACGTCAGAGAATTGAAGCGTTTGGAAATTTTCCAAATTACAATTCATCCGGCGAGAAATTATTCGCCAGTTTCGATTACCGTGAAATCGGTAAACAGAACGCGAAACGAACGAGAAATATCGAAAAGTTGGAACGACCGTTCTTCCACGTTCATTTATCTCTTATTGGTCGCAGCTGAACGATAGCAACAAGTTTGATCGTATTGCACGTAGAACGATACGGCACTCAATAAGAGCGGCACGACACTTTTGTCAACGGCCCTTCCCATCAATTACGCGATTTCAGTCGGAACCGTCGCCCTTTCGTTTGACCAGCGCCATATATTTAATGCGTTACAGCGAAGTTTAATCCCGCGCGAGTGTCCGTCGAGCTGCGATTCCGTTCGATTATTTACAGCCACAGTCACGGGACTACGGGGAAAGTTGATTGGAATATAGAAGCGCTATTCGTATCCGTGCGTGATATCCAGGATGATTATCGGACAGATGGAGAAACCCGGTCGAAAATGTTACGCCGAGTTTGTCGAAGTAGGTCGAAGCTAGTTTTAGAAGTACCAGAAATAAATATGGGACGCAGCCAGCGACTATTGGCCAAAGTTCGAGTGCGATAGAGGTCGTTTCTTCCGGCATACGAAATATGATTAACTACCAAATCGATAGCATAATTCAATGGAAATTATATTTCCGTGCATTCCTCGAAACTTCCTCTGCTCCTTTTATTCTCAAAAAGATTCCGTAATTAGGCATGCACTCGACAGTTGAGAAATCGAGGTCCACGAGTGTGGAGGAGTTTAAGAGGAATACGTGGCTTAATTCCCAAATATTTGTCTCGTCGTTTAAGAACAAACGTTTCACGGAAATGGCGCGCGCAAACGAGACATCCACTTATTTCGATTTCCCTTTTACCATTACCTGAGGCCACGGCCCGATTCCCCTCTGACCAGAGGCGTTTGAACGCTGCCCTGGAAAACGGCACCCCCGTCGCCGGTTACCCTTAGCATCTCCGCTCCCACCACCACCTGCTCCCTGTCCGCCGAGAAGAGAATTCCTCCTCGAGGGTCGGTTATCCGGAAGCCTCTCGACACGCAGTCCACGCGGTCCTCGCCTGCAAAGTGGACAAAAGACACTTGTCTGCCATTTGCCGTTTTACAAAAGCGGGAAACGAGACCGAGAAGGGAGGCGGGAAGAGGGAGAGAAGGAAAAAGGGGAAGCAATTCTTCAACGGGACACGAGCTCGTTAGAAATCGACCGGAATCGGGAATCACGTTTCGCTGAATGTCCGAAAGGGATAATGGAGTTTAAGTTTACCGCGTTGCTGTCGGTAATATGGAACGAACCTTCGTTTACGTATTTATCGTACGTGCCTCGAATTAACGGCCAGTTTAAATCTCTGCCACGAAGGACGAAGAATTAATTCGAATCGCACCGTTTCGTCGGTCGCGGACCGGCTCGCGCATTTATTTACATAGTTAAAGAGGATGGAAGAGGATCGACGATGCCGAGGAGACGCAAGGATCTCTCGCAGACTCGCAGCATCGATCGCGATGTACGATTCTTCGTTCTTTCGGGGAAATTCAACGATTTTCGAAATTCAACGTCCTCCGACGACCGTGTACGCGTGACTGTCATTCCGATCATCGTCGACATTAATACAGTTGCACCGGAGCCTCTCCGACACGGCGATTGTCGCGCGATTTAGTTTCATAGCTGTAAAATCGATGTGACTGCAACGCTCGTGTCCATTAACGGACACATCTCACTCCGTTACCCCGCTATACGTTATCGATATTCGTCCCTTTGTTTGCCGGGAGGACACAAGACAAAAATATCCGGTACCATTAAAAAAACTGGCGAAAACGAAACAAAAAGGAATACCGGTTCACATTTAAAAGGAATTTTTCCCCGAAATCGGATTTCGTAGATTAATTATCGCGCGATCCTACGAGCTCTGCGCAAAGCTGTAATTCTGCTTTTCGGCAGGATTCTCGTATCCCTGAGGAGATAGTTCAGACTTTTGTCACGATTTCGATGCCTCGGAAATATCTTTAGCCTCGCAGTCGAAATTCGTACCTGTACGCGTAAAGTAGACGTGATAGGCGTAAAATCGGAGCGATGAACTTCATCGATGCTCGTCGTTGCTCGGTTCATCGAAGATTAAACGGCCATCGCGGAATAATGCTAAATTAAGAAATTTCTGGGAACGAAGTTGATCGGCCGGGCTTTCGAGTGGCCTGAATACCAGCCGTCGATTACACGTCGATTTCCAACATTCCGCGATTCGAATTAACTCCGACCACGATTTTAAATCGACTCGTTTCCCTCCGCCGATTCCGGGCCGACCAACAACGCTCGTTTACACCGAAACGCAATGAACGAGCTCGCAAATCGAGTAACGCTATCGAAAGTTCATTCGCCGTGGATCGAAGCTCGACCCGACATCGAGTCGGTTTACACCTGAACTCTCGTCGCTCGCAAGAGTCCGAGAAATCGGTTTGTCGGCGAACGATGGGTCCAACACGAGACACGTATTACGGTGGAGCGTGTCCTCACCGACGGTGAATCGGGCGAGTAATCGGCCATCGTGCGACCTGGCCGACGCGGTGAAGTTGCTCCACGACTCGAGCACCAGATTCTTTCCCTGTCTGGATCTAAGGCTGGAGGCCACCAGGGCATCCAGTACGGCGGCCTGACCTCTGAGCTCGATCCCTCCGGGCACCACCTTCAGGGAGCCGATTCCCTTCTGAAAGAAGAGGAAATGACTGTCAGGAAATAAACGAGCCTCTCTGTCGGGGCTCTTTCTGGGTCGGCCGTTCACGATCGTCGAAGGAATATAGAAGCCGTAGGCCTGCCGCGTTAAAATTTCCCTCGCCATTCGATTCTAACTGCGCTTCCGTTTCCTTTCTTCTCCGCCACCCTCGTCCCCTCTCATCCTGGACCTCTGTTCCCCCTTTTCCCTTCCATCTCTGCTACCCCGACCCTTCGTCTAACCCCCCTCTCCGCTTATATCTTTAATTTTTTTCTTTTCGCATTTTTATGGATCATAACGAGAGTGAAAGAGAAAGAGAGAGAGCGAGAGAAAGAGATATTTTGATGCAGTCTCGCGCTATGATTCAGCGGTACGAAAATTAAACACCGGCGACCGACATTACTGCCGTTTCAGACGGTTGAATAATAAATGCGGTGATGAGCTACGAGGCCTCGCTCCCATCCAGGCCATCGGTCCAACCCCTGCGTCTAACCATTGTGAAGCCAGGGGCTCGTTTGAAATATCTCCCGCATAATATTGGAACAGTGGCGCAGGCAGAATTTTATTTCGACCGGCGAGGAGGGCGTATCGCTCTCCGACTTGTACCGTATCGTCGGGCGTATCGAGCGGAACATCGAGCGGAACGTCGAGCGATGCCAAGAGCTTAAGAGGCGAAACCGCCGCATGTGACGAGCCGAGGAACGCGCTATAAAGAGGACACGTAGCGTATATTCCGCGTCGTATTCGTCTCATAAACTTGGGATATTCTTCCGCCTCTGTCGCGACACGCCCAGCAGCCCCCCTCGGCCCCTGAGCCGACGTCGCGACGCGATTTTCGGTCGACGAAATTCAATTTCGCGTTACATTAATTGCCAGCCAGACGTCGAACGTGCGTCTGGTCCTTTGTCTCTCGTTTTTCCAAAGCGTTCAGGGACCCGTCCATCGTGATCGACGATCCGTTTTTACGTCGATCGAGAGCGGAACGTTCGACGAACTCGCGGTAATTGCGTTTCAAGCGTCGAGGCTCCGGCTTATCGTCTCCGAGGAGAGAAAAGAGAGGAGAGATTGCTCGAACTTGAAACGCCAGCCACGAAAAATGCACCCCCCCCCCCTTTCCACTTGCTTCGTTCCCTCTACCTCTACGTACGTGTATATACGTGTACACGTCGTCTCTCTACATTGGTTTCCGATGATTAGCCACTCGATTGGAAGCAATCGCCACGCGCTAGGCTGTTTCCACAGTTTCCACTTATTATAGCGACCGATCACTACGAAATGCGGCTGCTAGTTGGGTAAACGCCAGTAAACTCCAGCAAGCTGCTACGAGTCTGACCGAACAATCGCGGCTTTGGGATTTTCTGGCTTGAAAACGCGTTTCAGGGGACAGGGGGCCGATCGAGTTATCCCGGCAGTCGATTAGACCCGCTCGATATTCGGCGAATGGGTTAATAAAAAGGTGACGGTTTAAATTGTGATCGGCGGAGGAACGGGCGAGAGGGTGTAAATAATATGGAAACGTGAGCGACAGCGATACAGCGTGGCGGAGCGAAAACGAATTTAGAAATGGTAATTTTTTGAAACGAGCGCACGAGCGACAACGCGGGTGGGTGGGGGAGGGGGTGAGAAAAAGTTATACTCGAATTCGTTTCGCTGCTGGACGATATTAAAATCCGGCGTGACTTTCTAAAAATACCGCGCGGGCAGTAACGTTGGTTTTAAGGTTAATTCCGAGCGGTCGTTACTTTCTACGAGCATGTTCCACCTCTCAGGTAATTCTTGGACCCCTTCCTCAAAAAACTTCACCCCCCGAACAGCGGAGAAGCTCGGCGTTAATTTTCGCAGCTAATTTCTAGCGGTCGGTGCCGTTAACTTCCCTCCTTTTTTTCTTCCCACCCCGACCCGTAAAAAGAATTTCCCTACCACGAAAGCGGAAACAACCTTCGCCGTCCAATAATTAATTCTTCGCCTGCTGGGTTTAAAAAAAAAAAAGAAAAGAAAGATCCTCACGAGTAGACACTTTGGTCGCTTGCCTTCTAAATTCGCGCGCCGCCTCGTATAAATTAAACGACCAGCGGGAAGAGGAGCCGATGCCGCTGCTCTCGAGAGTCAACGATACGACCGGTATCCCCGAGGCATTAACGATTTCAATCTCGCCTCCTTTTAGCGCGGGACGAAACTCGAATTAACCCTTAACAGCGTGACAAATTAAATGGATCGTGGCCGTGGTAAGAAAAAGAGGCAGCGTTCCGGGGCGGTACGAGCTCCTTCTTGGTGGCGGTGCGAGCTGGATCCTCGTTTAAATTCCCGCAGCCGGAAGTGGCGGTGGCCGCGGCGTTCTACCGGATGCGCATAGCTGCGGCCGCGGCCCGGCGCCCGCTCTCCATCGCGGCGCCACTCGATTAGCCAAATCGTTCGGAAAACGATACGATCTCTTTGCTCTGTACTTAACCGTAACCGTAAACCCCAATGGCGTCGAGAGGGCCATAGCGGTGGCTGCCTTTTAGAATCGTCGTACGCTCCGGAGGAAGCGAACCCACCGAATCGCTGGATAGCTGCGAAGCTAAAGGACAAGCGTCGTTGAACTTTTCACTGCCTAGGGCCCCCACTACCTGCCATAGCGAGCAAGACGACACGAATTTTTGATCGACCGTTTCGCCCAACTTCTCCTTTTCGCTCGGATTAAACGACGTCGCCGAAGAAAAATGATGGCCCCGATGAAAAATGGGAAAAATTGTCGGCGTTCGCCGATGATTCGTGGCTATGAATATCGCGACGTTCTTAGTTGGACGATACGTCGAGATAACGGCGAGGGTTCGATTTCGGAGGAAAGTGGCTGCTCGCAGCGGTGAAACGGATATCCGGGTCGCGCCCCGAAGCGAGGCTCTCGACATCTACCGCTATCTTTCGAGGCGTGCACTTGGAATCTCGTTTCCGCTCGCGCTTCCCAGGCCAGAGTCGTTTAAATTCGATTTTTCCGGATACTTTATCCGGAAGGTGGGTTTTCAGCGTTTCGAACTTGAACTCGTGGCGCGGCCAGTCTTCTATCGAGTTACGGTCATCGGCGAACCATAGTCCTCGAGTTTGCGAATAATCTGCCAACTTTGCGCTAGCTAACGAGACTGGCTTAAAAACGCGACGTAGAACGCGAAGCCGCGATAACGAGACGATTTCGTAGAATTACAAACTTCGCCTATTCACGCAAAACATTAAATAGAATTCGCCATGCGATAACGACTGTGAGACCCGGTGTCTCTTGTTTAGGGGTTTAAACGCGCTCTATATGCTCCCCTTCTCTCTCTCTCTCTCTCTCTCTCTCTCTCTCTCTCTCTCTCTCTCTCTCTCTCTCTCTCTCTCTCTCTCGCTCTGTCTCATCAACGAATGACCAAAGGTACTTTGACCCGGTGATGAGCGCTCGTTCCGTGTCTATGACGCGTTTTCACGCGTTTCCGGCTTTTGTCCTTCGCTTTGAAAGCGACAAGTGGCGCGAAATTGGACGCGTTCATCGCTCAGACTTTCGCTCGAAGTGCATACTCGCGATATCGAAGTGCAATAGTGGACGCTTACCTCGCGAAACGCAAAACTGCCGAGTCTTTCGACGTGGCTCCCTCTACAATGCAATTACATCGCCTGGTACGAAACACGACGAGCGAAAAGTCGACTTCCGTCCAATTAATCGGCCCAGATAAAGGCAATATCTCGGCCCGATGTGGCCGGAATCGTGGCCCGAAACCCATCCAATAATCACAGTTATGAAAATTAATTTACCGACACGCGATCAGCCCGTTTCGCAACTTTCGTCCATTTCACCCGCGCCGCGGGGTAGGGGGATGAAATTAGCTCGATTCGATTTCGGCATGGAATCAAATCAAATCGACTCGATCGCGAATGCCCTTCCGCTGTTTCCTCCGCTATCAACCGCGTTTCCAGTTATTATACAATTCCCCTTTTGTAATTCCGCGTTCGTGTATCATGCTCCCGGTTAACAGCGGCCGATACGTCGAAGCGAGCGCCGCGATTTTTTCGCCAAGTGTCGATAAACACAAGCAGCGAGATAACACTGGACAATATCAACCGGATGTTCTCCCCGTTTCGAGTTTGTCAAGCCTGTTTGACGATTCACGAACGCGAGATGGTTCGAGTCCGTGCGACGAGCTGACCCGATATTTCTCCTCTGCTGGCTGGCTGCTTGAGATTCTTAGGAGGTCCCATTGGACCAGGCGAGTGCTCACGAGGAGTGCCCCAAGCGGGACGTAATGAAATCCAAATAACACCCCTTGCACGCGTATATCATCGTAACGACGCCCTCGGACCGCAGCTCTGCGCGGCTGCTCGCCGTCCATAAATTAATACAAAGCGCGTTATTTACAGGCTTTCGAACAACGTTTTCACGGCCTCGCCAATTTACCCGCTGTCCGTTTTATTCTCATCGATCAATTTACCTTGGGATTTTTTAACTAATATTAACGCATCGTCGCTATTCTATTTTTCCTTCTCTCTTTTTCCAACGCGCCTGTACTTTAGGAGCCCTTTATACACACGGTGTCCAACGAGTGACACGATTTTTCCACCGATTTACCAGCGTTGTCGAAGTGGGATGGTTGATAAAAATTTATCACTGGTAAACGCGACGCGGAATCGACGATTTCGCGAATACTTTCATTTTCTCGTCGAGATCGAAATCTCGTTCAATTTTTTCGCCATTCTCCTCTGAGGCTCATCGGCCGAAATAGCGCGGAGTATGATAAGCCAAATTTAACGAGTATCGTAATGTATCATTTTCGGTTAATACAATACGAAAGTTACGATAATGAAGGCAACAGTAACGAAAGCATATTCGTTGGCATTGCATACGGAATACATTTTAATGAAACAGCAATTAAAAACGTAAACTTAGACAATGTATATTACGTGAGTATAATTTCTGGTATATCAGCGAGTCGTGATTTTCATTGGCATACATTTCCCGCGGTACGAATCCCACTTTTACCGTACGT